AGGTAAGCGTAGTACCCACATACGTCTCCCCCCCCCTCCCAAATTTTCTTCGTGTAAATTGATAACTCAAGTACCTGAGAAACTAAAGAAATGCAATTTTAAGAGGATATACCCCCGTTCACCTAAGTTTCATTCAGCTCGAACCCAGCTCTCAGCTATGCTCAGTAAAAATGCACGGGCCCGTGAAAATTTTGTACTAGTAAGTTGCTAACTCAGGTGCCAGGGAAGCTAGAAAGTTGAAATTTTAAAGGGAATGTTTTCTGCAGTTCTGGTGGCCAGTCTTAATTTGTTTAGCTAGAAGCATTTGCCGAAAAAACCGGTGGCGGTAGCAACAGGAACTGCGGGGAACCATGCAAAAAACGCATCTTCGCACGGGCAGCCCGTGCGTTGGCCAACTATTAATTTTTGCCATCCTACCAGGCCGATTACGTCTGCCTTTCTTGCAATTTTTTTTTACATACTTTTCTTCCTCCCCTCTTCCCCCTCCAAGTTTTTGCGTTGCAGTCACTTATCATAAATGCGTATGTGAATTTAATCGTCACGATTGATTCGACCACAGCATAGGACTTTTCACTACCGTCGTCATCGCTTGATATTTTAAGGGTTAAGCTCAGTCGACTTCAAAGTTGACATGAAAACATTTTACTGCTTTCAATAAACGATTTTACAGCAATGTTCTGCTGTCATCATCTTATGCAAAAGTCCGGCTATCATCAGTTCAGATCGTGATAAATTCGTTTTTGCATGCATTTTGTGCTCTGTTACAGCAGTACAAAGCGCACATTGTCACGGCGTTGTCTTGTGTGTGTGTCCACAACAACTTGTCCGCAACTTTCAACTCGGGAACTACAGAAACTAGGAAGCTGAAAATTTGGAGGGACGTCCCCCACCCACGTATGATCCCGCAAATCTAAATCCAGCCTCCCCATACCTGCGGGTAACACGTACGGCTCCGTAAAAGTTTGGGCATATAAAATTATTATCAGGGGAACCACGGAAGCTAGAAGGCTGAAATTTTGTGGGCATGTTCCTCGCCCATGTGCTACCCAGAAATTTGAAATTCAGCTTTCTTCTGCTCGCGGGTAACACGTACGGTTCCGTGAAAATTTTTGACAGGTAAATTATTATTTCGGGAATCACAGATTCTAGGAAGCAGAAATTTTAGGGTAATAACCCCTTGCCCACGAACAATCTTGCAAATTCAAAATCAGCGTTCTTGGGTACCACCTACGGCCTCGTGAAAATTTTGTCGAGTAAACTTTTATCTCGGGAATCACAGACGGATATTCACCCTTCAAGGTTTCAAATTCAGCTTTCATGCGCCGGTGCATGAAGTTTTTAATTATTTTCGATGTTTCAACTATTTTTGCATAGGCTGAAGTACAAAGCAATGAAAATCATTAATAGGCAATCGCTCGGTGGGCAGAACTGCACAAAATGCGTGATCGCACCGGCTAATCTGGTGCGTGTTGTTATTTTCCTTTTTTCATACACATCTCACTTGCTGTTCTGTCGGTTTTCTGGAGAAGTTGTTGATTGAATACATAGATCGACAAGCGCCCTACAGTAGCAGATGTATGTCGAGAGTTCCAGTCCGCCCCGTAACAGCATTGTTCGAAAATGAATAATTCGGGGTTCTTTTTATTTCATGCTGAGCCCTTGTCGGTTTCTGTATTTTTGGGTATGGACGTATGAATTTCAGTTTTTCTAATTGATAGTGATCTTTGCTCAAATTGATAGTGATCCATCCATCCATCTGTTGCTTAAAATGCGAAGTTGTGTATTTTCGGCATTACCTTAGATTACTGTCACACTGTTGCGCCGGCTAACATGTTTAAAATCAAACTAGCGCAAGCTTGTATTTTAAAGCCATGAAATTTTGTAAAAAAAAATTTTTTTTGAATTTTCTAGTTGAAGTAGCACATCCTCGTCAGTGCTGTTCGTTGATGAGGGTCGCTGTTATAGATGTCAACGGTTTCTTCAAATGCCGACATCAATACAAAATATCAGCGAGTTGCAGCTGAATATGCAAAGGTTAGCTGTAGCTGCATGCTAGCTATTTGAATGAAATAATAATTATAAAATTTTGGGTCAGGAATTTCTTTTTTTGATGCCTTATTCACGCACTACCCGTAATATTTCGCAAGTACTATCTGTCGCACGGGGTAATTCCATGACTGGACTTAGACTTTTGGTACACTGATAATTGTGTGATAAAAGCAATGATTAAATTCTATCATCGTCAGACCTTTGAAAGTTTTTTTCTTTTCAGTTGAAAGTACAAGTGATTACACTGAAAAACGCGGTTATCAGTGAGCAAGCAAAAAATGAGAAGTTGTTGGTGAGTTATTTCTTTTTTTTTTTGCCATTTTTTCAGCAGTTTTTTGTATAATTTAAAAAGTTCAAATATTTGTTGCACCCTGCGTGCGGTTACTCCTGAAAATTTTTGCCAATTTTTGATGTTAGCGCTGTTGTGATCACATTTACTTGTTACTGTTCGGCAGTTCTAGTTAAATTTTTCTTTAGTTCACTTGTTACAGAAAAAAAAAAAAAAAATTACAGGCCGATTTACACCAAAGCGAACAGTCTTTACGTAAACTTCAAACCGAAAAAGAAGGCTTTGAGTTCCGGAATGCGCAACTGGTGAAACGCGTCGAATCGCTGCAGTATGAAATTGATAATGCCAAACAACAACAGCAGCAGCAGCATGCTTCTTCAAAGGTCCTCCTGTTCTTATTTCAGCTTAAGGATTTAAGGTCCACCACCGCTCGGGCGCAAAATCATAGTAACAACTCCTGGAATGCTACAGGAATATTCTGTCACTTCTGATTTGTTGGTTCGATTGCTGACCGGCGAGTGGTCGTGCGGGTAAAAACCAAGCTCTGCCTTTCATCACATACATATTTTCCCTTCTTTTATCCTAAGACTTTCGCAAAGGGAACTTGTTTTTTAGTCTGTATTTTGCGTCT